AAAAACATTCATAATTATATTGTCCATTGAAACAGTAATAAATTAAAACGGTTTATTAATATTTGAGGTCGCGAAGAGTTAAAATTAATTTCAGGCCTATTTCCAAGCGAATCCACAGATGTTTTTGTCGTTATTCTAATGTAACTTCAACGTGAAAACATATTTATTTAGTGGCAATGAACTCGTATTGTTGTGCTATGTGACTCAAATACACGGGAACATTTTATAATATTTCAGTATTAGTATTTTTATGTACAATTACTAAACACAATAAGTTAAAAATGTAACGTCTTTATATTATTTTAATACTAAGAATCACAAGTAGAAAGTTTCCTCGATGTAATTAAATATTATTATATTTATAGAAATGAGGAAACATAAATGGTATGCGATTCTTAATAAATAATTCTCTTCAAATATTCAAATTTCAACCAACCCGATTAAAATGGCTTTAACGTTTAAGCTTTATGTTTCTATATTTTGTCGTTAAACTATTAAGTATAAAAGAATGGAAGTTTTAAGAAAGAAACGACTGTTTTTTGAAAAATTCAACTCTAACCATTCAAGAGGTTATTTTTTAGAATGACATCTAGAAAACGATTAGAACTAAAATAAAATATGTACTTATTATTTTAATGTTGTATAATATACAAAGTAATACTCTTACACTTGAAAATGTTTTTACCATAATTTATTGCTTATTTTTTTTTTTATTTATGACTATTAAATAAATAATGATTTTGATTGTAATTTATACTTTCCTACATCCTATTCATAGAAATGTATTTAAAAACTCATTTTGTTTTGAAGTGTTAAAGGTTAATATTATAAAAAATATTATTTTACATAATAATGTGTATCAAGTGTTGTAATTTATTAATAATATACCTAAAATTGGTTAGACAAAAAAAAAAACTCCACAATTTATTTTTACTTTGACAAAATGTTATTTTTTTTTAATATAAATAGATATGAAATCGATTAATTTATTATTTAAAAATTTGACAAAGCTCTATTGTTAGCAAATAAAAAATTATTAATGAAAAAATCAATATATTTTAATCGAGACAATTATTTATAAATTAATATATTATGTTAAATGTGTTTTTATTTTTAATATAATAATCAGATGTTAATTTTTTTGAGAAATCATATTCACTATTACATATTACAAATTACATATTTCAAGTTCAATCGATTATAGATTTACCTCGTTAAGCATATGTCAAAACCAATTAATAAACCCATAATAAAGATTAATCAAATGTATTCTTATACTTATGATTCATAATTATTTTCGTTAATTAAATACTTTAAACCCATAAAAATGAAAACATTTTGGATTTTATTTATTATTCTGCATTTTTTCTTTATAAAATTGACATTTTAACAATATTTTGTAATACTAGACAAATTTTGAGGAAGTTTTGAAATTGATTTTTTGGTTGGAAAATATTATTTAAAGAAAGTATCAAAAGCGTAATTGATGTTGAATTGTTCTTAATTTTAAACATCGCAATAGATCAGTTCAATAACCAGTAGGTATGTTGTTGTGCTGAGACATCTTTAAGAACCAGTTAATGGTCCTGTAGTGGTGCATAACCCATTCTACCTGAGAAAATGGATTAGGAAGAGAACAATATGTCAACACATTTATCTCGTTCTTATCGATTATTTCCTATTAGCCTCCGAAAGTGTTAACGTCGACCAGACGTACACAGTGCCTTTATTTACCCTCGTGTAGTACCGGTTTGAACCCTATAGAATTGTGTGTTACATTAAATTGAACTTCTTTTTTATTATTTTACCGTCACGTAGATGTTTGAGAAAAACAACAATATTTTTTCTAAAAATTATTATTGAAGTTTACTTAGCTGTATAACTGCATGGAAAACATTAACATCGTATGTTATATAATAAGTGTTATTTTTAATTTTACTTAACTAAAAAAATAACATAAATTTTGTCTTTAATGTGATGGTAGGTATTTCAATGTCATAGAGATTTGTAATTTCCGCCACTAATATTGATTACAAAACACTAACCAATCAGTATATTGAACTTTGCGTTAACTTAGTAAAGAATAAAAACATCAGAATATTATAGCGTATTGTTTAACCTGTAAATACAATGCACTCTAATAATATTTGTTTAATATTAATTAGTCTTTGTTGTCCTAAGTTTTCTAGAAAAAACAAAATATCTTCACATTGGATATATTATACACAAGTTTTGTTTTTTAGGGCTATTGTAATAGTTTTACCTTATATTTTACTTAAGATTTTCTTAGCTGTTGTAAAATAAAATAATTACAATTTTTAGCTTCAAATCAAAGATAAAAAGGAATTAATTTTACTATATTGTTTTTTTTTAATCCTGTCACCACTATTTCTAAGCTGTCACCGAATCGATTTCTATTAAACTACTAAATTTATCGTTCCACATTTAAAGATGTGAAAACCTCAACAAAATTTTCATTTTAAAAATCTGTGAAATTCGACTTTTTTTTTCTTTCTTAGACTGTTTAACTTTTTTAAAAATGAACGAAACAAAATAATTTTTTTTACATAAATACCTAGGTATTTTCCTTTCATTTGGTAAAATTTTTTTGAAAATCTCACCCATGATATGCCTATAGGAGAGGAATCAAAATAGCAATTTCTTCACAAAAATTTATGTTTTGAAAATGTTCCATAAATACTTTGAGCTTCAAACATATTTTAAAATTAAGTTTATGTTATGTACTGTAAGTTCAAAAAAGAAATTTGTCCTGATGATTTGACTTTTGTATATAAACAGTCTTCGAAGTTAGACAAAATTTTGGTGTAAAACTAATCGTTTTTCAAGTTGTTTTTTTTTTATTTAAATTTGTCATAACTTTTTGGTATTAATAAATCACTTCAATAAAAATCATAGTCATCAATTCTATAAAACTCTTGTTGTTTGAATAGTTGCTACAATTGAAATATTAAGAACTACATTCCGTATAGTTATATAATATAATTATATTCTGTAATGTATTATTATTCAGAAATATTCCGGACGTAGTTTCATATATGAAATTAGTTTTTTTTATGTAAATTATCGTTTTTTACTAATTAATAATAATCTTTAAAATTAGAGGTGATAAAAAAAATCGATTTGCAGATTTGAAATCGGCGTAAAAATTGATTTAGAAAAAATATACTTTTTGTGACTGAGGAAAATTCCTTATAGACTAGTAATTTTATTTATATGTAACAAACAATTTTTTTTTTTTTGAAAAATTTTTCATCAATCCCTTCAATTTTTATTCACGTTTATCATAAAGGTAACAACTACTTTAGAACTCTCCGTTGACATTACAATATTAAATTATTGAATATTAATTTCATACTATTTTAATACTATAATAAATATTTATTAATATATTATACTTATAAATCAAAGAAATACTATTTAGGATATAATGAAAGAAATAAGAGTTAATGGTGCTTTTTCACTAATTTCTTAAAATTAAACACTATCTACAGATTTGCATCATAGCATTTTTTATGATAGTGATTTTTAACATAATATTTGTCCTAAACATTGAAAATTTGTCGATAAAAACAATAGTTTGAATTTATAGGTTATTAAGTATACGAGTTTTCAATAATAAAACAAATAATCTCTTCTTTAAACTTAATACTAAGAATGATTACTTGTTATTTGCTAATTGGTTTGTAAATAGTTACCTTCTTAAAAGTAATTTGTTTACACCGACTCGTATTATCTGTTTATTAGGCTAACTGAATGACTGAACTACTCACCTATAATTATTCTATTTTAGTCTGATTACAATAATTAAATTGTTTAAGTAATAAATTAGCGTTTAAAATAAATACATAAAATAATATATTTACAAATAAATATTTATTCTATTATTTATTTATTTTGCCAACTTTTTTTAATAAAAAAAAGAATAATTTTTCCTCAAATTTTATTCTGCTCCGATACTAATAATTATCATTGATTCTGTTAACTTAATCGTTTAACATAAAATTTGACTAAGAAAATAACTCTATGATAAATTTTAATAAGTATTAAGTATTTAAATCATTAAGATATAAATTATATATATATATTATCAATAAAAATGAAATTTCAGTATTAATTTATTGTTGAATAACTGTTAACAAGTAATCATCGTTTTACATTTTGTCAACACGGTCACATCTTTTTCAGAATATCAATGTTCTTGTCAATCGCCTTCAATTCATCGAAATGAAACTGCAACAACAATCTAATTTCCCAATATCGTTTAAGAAACGCGACTTCAACGTAAACTTAGAAGTAACGTAATCACAACTGATCTTAACTTACTTTATACTTATTCACATGGGTCATTTAAAGTATACTTAAATAACATGAAATCAATTTTAAAAATGACCTAAAGTATAATCGTTTAATTTTATTAAGCTTATTCGAATAAATGACTCCAGTTAGTCTTGTTAATTTATTTTTATAAAATATAAGTATATAAAATATACTTATTATTTTTATTATTGGTGCGTTCGCAACTTCAAAATTTGTTGAGGTTACTAGTAAAAATAATGCATTGTTTATCCAATGATATATTCATTGGATTATCACTTTCTCATGGCCAATAATTTTATCAAGATTTTTTCAAGGGGACGAAAATGTAATTTATTTTTGTTATAATGTATTAATATTGTAAAAATTTGTTTCGAAAACTTCCAGACGAGGGAAGGAATATTGGATTACTTTGAAATTTAAAAAAGTTTTTAAATTTACTCGTGTGAGAATTAATTGTTAATGCAAACTTTTATGTTGTATATTATGTATGAGCTTCTGTCGAATAATTAGTTCACTGTATTACATTACCTAAAATCTTGTTTATAAATATCTAATGTTCCTAATATATGTCATAGAATTCAGTTTTTTACGTCTCCCATACAATTTAAAAAAAAATGGTCAGATCTTTGAGGTAGAAAACATCGACATATGATTCAGGGAAATAGATTTTTGCATAAAACAGTGTTCACAAGGTATATTAGTGCCTGATCGTTACATTAATATAAGCACATTACAAACTGTATTGAATGTAAAACATAAGTCAAGGACAGTTACACAGTCGTTTTGTTCACGTAATACTCGAACCACTTCAGATTGGATCACAGACATTTTAGTTGAAACCTATGGAACTAATTCATTTTTTAGTCATTAACACACTTGGTCGTTGTGTTATTAACGTCAATCAATGAATTTTTTTATCAGTCCTAAATAACATAAAGTATATTTGACCTAAAACCGGACGGGGAAAAACAAAGTAATTGCCAGACGATACGTTGTGTCGTGTTATTCAAACTGGACTTGTACAGTTCGTTTTTCATCGTAACACTACTATCAGAATCATTTGTAACAACGTAATGTCTGTTCTCAATAAAATATAGTCTTACATTAGATAATCAGTGACTATGACAATAATTGTCGGCTTAGTGAAGGTCCTGCGTTCGTCGTTTATATTTTAAAATATTTTATTGCTTAATAATAACTACAAGGTAAAAAGCTTCGAGTCTCTGTGTAAAAATGATCCACAAGTGTTAGAATAATTCAAGGTTCTCTTTTACAGTTCTGAAATGGATGCATTCGATTCCTTATACTCTATTCGGACGTTTCCTATAAGAGTTGACAAAATATGAACAGTTAAGGGTCAACATGAGATAAACATTTTTTTTACACATTTTAAATAATTTTAATATTATGGAACATTATAATTAAACGTCAATAAAGAAACTGCGCGCCAAGGCGTTTTGGATTAAAACAAGACCAACATTGTGTCGTTGTCAATAAACCTTGTAAGTATAAAATAAATTAAATACGTTTAAAGTGTTTGCGCCCACCGCATGCGTAATGCCTTGCCATTGTACTTAAAGGAAGAAGAAAAAATACATATCTTTTGGGTAATTGCTGCTCGTTCGACAAGGTCGCATCTTCTCATTAAAATAATCTAAACGCGCGCGCAATTGCAGTGTCGATAAAACAGTAGAATTTATACGGACTATGAGGGCACAGTACAATTTCGAGGGTCCTTGACGAGTTCAGTCACCTAAAATTTCAGACGGTATGCACGTTAACCTTAAGTTTCGTTGTCTTTGAACCCCAAAATACTGGCCACTCAATGATTGAAATCTTTTTATTAATAGCAATGGCACGGTACCAATTCGAATAAAACATTAAATGTACAATACAGTTTCTTTGGATCACTTTATTTCCTGTTTTACAAAGAGTGTTAATTATTACATCAAAGTAAAGTGGATTTCTTATGTGTGTCCGAGCGCGTTAACATTAATTTGATTATGAAAATGATGTTTTTTTTTATCAGTTGGCTTTTTTTTCTGTATCTGGCCGTGTAATATCGGACAAAAGTACTATTATTATTGCATTTTTTCATTACCATTACTTTGGTATATTACACCGTAATGCATGGCGATAATGAATAATGACCGTGGTTATAATCTCGGGTCGGCCAAGTTCATTGTCACAAGGGAACATAACCATTTTTAGTCCAACGACACCTGTTCTAATTAAAATACTAGTACGGTTTTAAAAAATTATAAAAAAAAAATATATATGAACGGATAACATGATATATCGGTGGGGGCTCTCAATGTGACTTTGACTTTTCCAACGAGAACAATGTATAATGGTATTGTACACAATATTTATGACTACATTATACTCATTTGTTCGTTTGAAATTGCGCGTTAAACGTGAGGTCATGAAAAACAGTCGACTATTTACTATACTAGTAATAGGCTACTCAAAATTAAACCTATTAAAAGGCGAATATGATCCGTTAAAATTAATTTCCTGGATTTTAAACGGTCGCTGAACCTATCTGGTAACAGCAATGAATTATTATTATATGTGTTACGGGCGAAGGTCCTTTGGTTGAAATTTCCAGTTATAACCTTTGCCGGCCGGATGTTAGTTACTTATTTGTTACAATCATTAATCCACTATGGATAATAATTGATATAACCTCGTTCCAAGAGAAACGACCCAACGTGTTAACCCCTATGCGATTGAAATGTAAATTTTGCTGGTTCGCAAGTCGCTAACAGAACAAACTTCAAGGTCTACAACTTATTACATAAAATGTTTAGTACATGTACACCAATTAAGTTAAATATTTGTTGATTACAAGCGATTATACAAATTTAAATTATAACCGTCAAATTTTGTACCCGTGCGAAAGAACAATAATCGTTTTTTTGTAAATCATCAAAAGTATACATGAATTGTGTATTACCTTATACTTATATGATTAAAACATATAACATTGGAAATTACCGATTTATGTTTATAATGTTGACGTTTAGGTAACCAAGAAACTATTACCATAGAGTAATCCCATTACAGTCATTCTATTAAATCAATTTTAACAAAAACAAAAAGTTATTCGGTTTTCATGCCTTATTTTTTGTTAATTTTTTGTTTTTTAAAAATTTCAACTTTCTTTTCTGTATTCAAAAATGTATTATTAATCTTGATTTTGTGTTTCGATTGATTTGCACTGTCCAAATTAAGATCTTATTACTTGCGGTAATCAATTTTATATAAAAAAAAATTGTACAAAACCGGTGTTCATTTTTCGTGTTCTTAATAATATTTTATTTTTGGATACACAAACTTTAGGTAATATGAAGTTCATATTACCTAAACATTTAATAGTGCATCATCTAGGTCCGATATCTTACAGCGAGTATCTTATAGTGGTTTGTAACAAAAATTTATTTATTTATTGTGAAAGAAATATTTTTAGTAAGTTAGCTTTTTAATGAAATATTCTGATATTATCTTTTTCTTTGGTGCAGCTGTTTAACTTCAAAACCATTCAACAAATTTTCTAATTTGTAATATATAACGAGATATCATTATGATCTCGTTTCCAGTATTATATGAGAATATTTTCAATGTAATAAAAAATTTTATCACCTTAATGTTTTGCACTATTCAAATGTCATTTTAATAAATATTCTGTCAGACGTTTATGTCCATGATCAAAATCTAAACCACTTGATAAAAATGATTTTTTCCTTGGGTTTAATCAATAAACACTTCGTTTTTATAAATTGTTGGCGGCATTAAGTTTATTACTCTGTAACATTTTTACTGGTGAATTCTTTAGAACTATCGTTTAAACTTATTTTTTATAAATATATTGTATTAAGATGATATAGTCAAGAGTTGCTCGTTCGGGTCACGGTCAAAGATTACTAAACCATTTTAACTGCTCATTCGAATGACCTTCTCCTTTTTCCACAGCTACATAAAAATAGACTGGTTGTTGAATACAAAAAAAAAAAATAATTTAAAATAAATCACTAAGCAAATTTTGTTTTAAAAACTGATTTCACAGTTTTTTTTTTTGCTTTAGATATTCATACGTTCCGATGATTAATCCACAGCTAGCGTGGGCGTTCGTTATTAATAAATCTTTTTGTATCGAAAAAAAAACTTGTGAGGTTTTTCTATTTATTTTCCCCTTTTGTTTTCGGAGCTGGTTTATTGGAAGCATGACTCAACTACCAACTATAAACATGAACCATAGTTGAGCAAAAAGGAACCTATTGTCATGGGGTGAAAATATACGAAATTAATCCTCTAAACAGAGACTACATTGATGTTTTGTCGATAAAATACCAAGCATACAAAAAATAGTTTTCATTAAAAGCAGTCTTCTGACCCGATGTTCTTCCTAAGGTTTTTTAACATATCTATTGTATCCCTTTGAACGGTGTATGACCAATACAGAGCACTTGAATTTTTTCACTTATTATTATGATTCATGAAGCTAAAAGTATATTAAATTTTACCAGCGTTTACCTTATCGTCCAATTATTTTACTCAAAAAAGTTCACGGTCATTTTTGACGCACTATTGAATCACACAAGTGATTAGTTGAGCATTTTTTATGAACAGAATCAATTAAAAGAAAAAATATATATTCGTAATAAATTATATGGAACCATTGGAAAAATTGCATTAACTTTTTTGTTTTAGAGTATCAAATTATTTATGTACAGTAAAATATTTTACAATATAATTGTACGCAAATGTATCATCTAACGTTTTCCTGTTAACTATTTCGTATGAATTAGTTCGAATGATAAAATAGATTTAGTATGCTGTTTACTGCTATTGAGTAGTTTTTACGTTATACAATCTCTAGGTTTACTATAGGAAACTTGAAAATTTGCTCAGACTAGGACAAAATACTTTTTGCACCTAAGAATCTATGGGAAACGATTTACCATGTCATGGTCTATTCGACCTGGCCCGTGGGTCGTTAATTTGTGTTAGTATGTCCTTAACTAATGTCGAGGCAATATTCATTTTTTAGGTTAGGACCTTACTTAGATTCCTCTAGATACTTAAGCTCTTCGTTAAAATGTAATAAAAATCCATTAAAGATTAAAGAACAAGGTGCAATTATGCTAATAAATATTATAAATTTTGCAATAAAAGTTATAATAGTTGTAGTCTAGCGTATTTTTTTTAATTTTATCAGTTTACACGTTTACTCCTCTTCTGCTGGATCAATTTTGCTCAGATATACATCAAAAGATCATTAAATGTTGAAGCTATCAGTACCATTATTTTAAAAAATCCTCTTCATTTCTGAAATAAAGAAATATATTATATGTTTCAAAAACTACAGTTTTTGTAAACATTGAATGTTAATATTTTTAGTGTTCACTTCAAATTGAAATAACTCTTTTAAAATTTGTATGGATTATTGCGAAATTTTTATTGAAAATATATAATTTTTAACTGATATACTTTTATGAAAATCCAGTCATTAACTAAGATCCTGTGAAGGCCTAAAAATCATATCAACATTTTTTGTTTTTGATTTTTGACATTTTTTTTAAAAAAACCTGCTTTTTTTAAACAACTTACATTAAAATAATTCTAATACGTTGAACTTTAAGATGAAAAAAGAAAAAATATTCTAAATGTCAAAAATATTCAATACAGTTATACCCTCTATGTATGCCGATAGTTTTATTATTTTAATTTATACCGATTTTATATCATAAATAATTATTTTTATATTATCACGGTGTAAATTATAGCTTTATTTTTCCGTTAAAGTTCGTCGAGAGTTTTCGGTTGTGGTCGACATCAGCGGTCGTCAGAGTAATCAAAATGTGATTGTGTAAAAAATTACTATATATAACATAATTATATGAACTTTATTATATAATATAGTTCATGTTTATTAAATATAATTCTTAAAAAATGTTGAGAGCACGTGTTTATGTTAGTAATTTTTGTTTAATATTTAAATGATTAGTTGGAAGTATTTTGATATTTTTTGTGTTTGACTCACGATATTTAAAAATAAATACTTACATAGGTTTTATGATTTAATAATTAATAATTGCCATTAACGTTTACGGTCTGCACGTTTTATTTATTTCAATTTTCGTGCTACATTTTGTGACAAACTCATATTATTTTCGGATCATTAATTATTAATATGAAAAATGGAATTATGTCTTTTTTATGAATTCAGATTTATTTTTATCTTATAAATATTTGTTTAAATTACCTGTGTATTCAACAGAAATTTATTCATTTCTTATCATAACAGAAACAAAATTAAATCGATATCGACTGTCAATTATTCTTTAGTTTGACATTTACATCAATTGATACCTTTTAATTTATTGATTTAATGATGACGAAAATACAGCTTAACCAATTATTTATTCCACAATTTTTAGTGTTTACTTGTTTTCAATGAATATCCAAATTATCAAATTATCAAATTATTCCTAGTTTA